CCCAAAAAGCCACATAAAGGTGTATTCAAACCATGTGGTAGACACAAACACATCACTCCATAGTGGAAATTCTGCGGGTTTTGAAAACATCGAGAATCGCTTGTCAAATGGCTCGATTTTTGGAAACACATTTTGTCAAATTATTTGATTTTCAAATGCATCGCTTATCAACTTGCTTAATTCCAAAAAGTCATCAGTTGCGTTACTTGATCTCGAAAACACATTGCTTGTAACAAAGTAATATTTGTACAAATTTGTTCACTTGTGAATATTTCAAACACTTCCAATTTAAGTGAGCGAGAGTAAACTCATCATATCAATTAAAATGGTTTAACATATTCACTTTATTTACTTTTATTCTAAATACCAAATCACGAAAAAATCTAGTGAATTCGTTAAAACACTGAAACACAATAAAATCGCTTCTTTCTTTGATAGCTTTCAAATGAAGCGATATTCATAGTTATCTAAAATCACATGAAAATCAAAATCACTTATCACATCTTATAAGAAATCAAATTTACTTTCAAAGTCATATTATGATTTAGGCCACGACATCATCTAAATCACATATCATTTTCTATACATGGAAAATAATAGAATAATTTTTTTTCAAGCCTAAGGTCAATCAAATTAGAATACTCATGAAAATTTTTCATTATAAAAAAATACTAGTGAGATAACCTCTAATGGGAACGACTTTCCTAAAAAATATATTACTCCTGATGTCAACCAGATCCTTAGCGATATCTCTCTTTTAAGACACTAAAATTTTGAACTTTGGATACAACTTTCATATAAAGGCTCAGTCCTTATTTATAGTCATCGATATATATTTTTTGTTCTGATGTTATCCATAAAATAAGCTTGTGCACCATTTTTTTGTAAATATATATTTTTAATTCTTAGGCTATGTACATAAGATAATCTTGTGCACGTTTTTCTATAAATATATGTTTTTAATTCTTAGGCTTGTTCATAAGATAAGTTTGTGCACGTTTTTTCATAAATAATTCTTAGGCTTATTCATAAGATAAGCTTGTGCACATTTTTACATTAATATATATTTAATTAACTATTCACTTGGGTTATTACACTCTCAGTTTCGTTATCGAAACCTAAAGTGCCTTAATCTCCAAAGAGCTTTAGATATTTCTCTCACGTAGAATCTTTCATTTTCCAAGTAGCTCCTCTTTTAGAATGCTTTTTCCATTAAACTTTCACATATTTGATAGTTCGACGATTAAGTACTTGTTCCTTATAATCCACAATGCGCTCAGGTTTCTCCTCATAAGTGAAGTTAGGTTTGAGTACTGGAGATATCCACAATGCGCTCAAGTTTCTCCTCATAAGTGAAGTCAGGTTTGAGTTCCACTGGAGATAACAGACTTGGCTATCTACAGTGATGCCTCTAGGAGAGGACTGTGTTGTGTTCTTATGTAAAATGGGAAAATCATAGCATATGCTTCAAGGCAGTTAATGCCCTATAAACAAAACTATCCCACTCATGATTTGGAATTAGCGACAATAGTGTTTGCTCTTAAGATTTGGAGATATTATTTATGTGGAGTACATTGCGAAATATACACTGACCATAAGAGTTTGAAATATATATTCACTCAGAAGGAGTTGAATTTGCGGCAAAGAAGATGGTTGGAGTTTCTAAAAGATTATGACATGACCATCAATTATCACTCCGACAAGGCAAATATTGTTGCTAATGCATTGAGTCACAAGAATTTATGCAATTTAGTATCACTAATTACTTCTCAAAGAAAAATATAGGAGGATTTGGATCGTACTAGAATTGAAGAGTCCACCAAATTAGAGTTCAATTAGCGAAAATGGTGATACAACCTTCTTTGAGAGATGAAGTTAAAGCAAATCAACAAAAGGATCCTCAAACTGGTGAAGATAAAGAAAAATGTGGAAGAAGGCACTCGAAGAGAATTTAAGATACATCAAGATGAGTCCTTGAGGTTTGGAACTAGAGTTCATGTGTCTAATATACCGGAGATAAAGAAGAAGATTCTAAAAAAGGCACACCACTCTGTATACTATACATCCTGGATCTACAAAAATATATAAAGAGTTAAAGGAAATCTATTGGTGGAGTAACATGAAGAAGGAGATTGCTATTTATGTTGCGGGATGTTTTACTTGCTAACAAGTAAAGACGGACACCAAAGACCAGCTGGATTAGTCCAAAATTTAGACATGCCAATGTGACAATGAGAAAAGATCACCGTGGATTTCATCACCGGCCTTCCAATTTAAAAAAAAGAATGACGCGATATGTGTGATTGTTGACCGATTAACTAAGTCCGCACATTTTTTATCTATCAATATGAAATTTTTTATTAGAAAAGTTGACTAAAATATACATCAATGAGATAATGAGATTGCATAGCGTACCGATATCAATAGTTTTTAATAGAGTTCCTAGTTTCACATCAGAATATTGGCAAAGTGTACATAGCTATGCAGATTAAACTAAAATTTAGCTCAACTTACCATCCACATACGGATGACCAATTAAAAAGGACAATTCAAACACTAGAAGATATGCTGAGATATGCACTGGAAATGAAAGGATCATGGGAGGAATATCTGCCATTGGCTGAGTTTGCATACAATAACAGTTATCAAATTAGTATTCAGATGGCACCATATGAACTTCTTTATGGAAGTAGGTGCAGATCTCCTATTCATTAAGACGATGTAGGAGAAAAAAACTTTTTGGGCCAGAATTGGTACAACAAGCAATTGATAAGATTTAATTAGTTAGGGAATGTCTTTGCACCGCACAAAGTCGTTAGAAGAGTTATGTTGATCAAAGAAGAAGAGATTTGAAATTCCAGGTTGTTTTATTACATAGTTTTACTATTCGATAAAAAATTCCAAATTTAAAACATGTACGATAACGTGCAAAGCACGTGCGTTATACTAGTATAGTAAAATACCCGTCTATATTTATGGTAGAATACACAAAGATACAAATATAGTAAAATATTCAATCCATATGTGAATTCTCCAGTTTATGGACAATAGATGAAATTGTTCTACCATAGAAGACTTGATTTGCTACCAATTTTGGTGATCTAGAGATCTAAACTTAGATTTTCTAGGTATGTTGGACATATTGATAGACCTATACCTCTGGTTTTAACCTATGTTTTGCTACCAATTTTGGTGATCTAGAGATCTGAACTTAGATTTTCTAGGTATGTTGAACATATTGATTGACCTCTACCTCTGGTTTTAACCTATGTTGCATGTAAACGGGTACGAGTGCAGGTATAGGAGATGAGTAATTTGTAGAAGTTAGGCTACATGGACTCGGCTGTATAATTCTTGAAATTAATAATTTACATGCAACCAATATTGCCTTTTCATTGACATGTTTTGAGAATTAAATTCCTGCAGAATTTTTTATATTTCTCTTGTGCTTCTTTTTTGATGTAGATTATAAATTGGAAAACTACTCGTTTTTGAACTAGATACCCAAACAACCTTTTAAAATCATAGTTTTGAGTGTGGTATTAGCTGAAACATACCCGACTGATGTCCAACGAGTTTCAATAAGTGGACATGAATCGTATGATATACGACCAAGAGGTTTATGAAGTTCATGATAGGTGTTTTAAATTAAAACATGTCTTATATAATTGAGTACACATTGGGATAAATGTATGCATATATTCAAGGAGTGCCCGAGGAGTGCCGATGCTAGGTATGGGTATGCGATGTGTCGGGTATGACATGGTATCATGATATAAGTACCTGTTCAACATAGATTCCAACTTTCCGGTGTGCCATTGCTCCTTTAAATTAAGCATAATTTGATATTTAAAAAGAATCTCAAGTCTTGTTAATTGCTAAGCCCTTCTAATTCTAGAGTTACGCTAAGGCCTAAACTTTATTGTTAGCAGTGCACAATATCACGTTTAAACCTGAACTCCGCTCCTATTCCACTTTGAAGTCTTACTTAGCACGGATTTGGTTTTCTGATAGTATGGATCTGGTCCCAGTTTTGAATCTGACTCATTTGAATGACTTACTTTTCTTCATAGCGTGATCTGGCCCAAACCCGATGAAGTTATATTTCTACTTTTAGTCTTCATGTTTCTTAATCTTTCAAACTGAGAAACATGTCTTATTAACTATGAGCTCCAGCTGAAGCTGATAAGTAGAAATTCAACTCAGTCTGTCAAACTCTTACATAATGACAGTACTAATAACCATACTATGAGACATGGGGACTCTGCATTTTGCTGTGGACTTTCATGGGGGACTATACCATAATGGTTTTTTTTCATGAGCAAGGCAGATTACTGAATTTATCTTAACTGGGTTATTGGAGACTAAGGTTATTTCCTTCTAGGTTGCTGCATCGCCATCTTCTTCTAGGTTGCTGCATCGCCATCTTCTTCTAGGTTGCTGCATCGCCATCTTAAGTAGAAAGTAGGACCTTATTCAAATGTTATGTAGTAATTCAGTTTTGGCAAATATTCTCACCTCTTAACACTAAAGCTTGATCAGTGGTTTCTTAACAAATCATTAGTCTGTAAAGCTCTCACATACCCTCACCTAATCTATTCATATCTTCCTACTAAAGTTTGATGCATGGCTTCTTAATAAATCCATGCGTTTTTAATTCAAAAAAAGTTCCGTAAGAGAGATTCTAATGGATAATCTTGTCATCTTGTAGACTTGACTACCTTATGGACCCCTATCTAAGGTTTGGAGTTATGTAAGACTTGTACCCATTTGTCGTAGATGTTGAATTTTCCCAAACACAGTATTTAAGTAAGAAAACAAGTTGTTTCGTAGCCATTTTCTACCTTAAATGCTCATCTTAGTTCATTTTGACATGTGAATATTAAGTTAAAAACTGTCATTTTCATGAAATTATTTTCTTCTTTCTTTTGTTTGATAAGATTTTTCTTTTGTTTCTTTCTTATCAAACTGCTTATTCAATCACAAATCAAATCCCATAGGTACCAATCTCCAGTGCCTGCTGACCAGGTGAAACCATGGGGTGAATTCGACCATGAAGGAGGTGAATTTGCTATCCATCCCCCTTCTCTATGATATCTGATGTTTCCCTTTCTGATTGATATTTAATTTGCAAACTGTAGATGCTCCTGCTGGTCGAGGTAGAGGCCGTGGTGGGCGAGGCAGGGGAAGGGGTCGAGGTATGTCTACTTCATCCTCAATGAGATTAATTTTTTCAGGATATTACAAGAACTGGAACTTCTACACTCGTTTCTCCATGTGATAATGCATTAAAATACAACCTATTTCCCTTTATAGGAAACGGTCCCGTGACAATGGACTATGGTAATGGTGGTTATGAAAACAGGGGTCGTGGATACGGTAGGGGTGGTTATGGCCGTGGTAGGGGCCGAGGTTACAGAGGCCGTGGCAGAGGCGGTTATGGTGGCCGGCCTGATTACCAACAAGATGCGGGTGGATACAATGAAGAAGCAACTGTTCCTCCCCAGGGTCGAGGTATGTTTCAGCTGTATCTCGTTGTTTGTTCCCAAGTGCGCATGATAGTTGATTCTCATCATATGGGTGGATTTTTATCGGATATTTTCATCCACTGTTGTTTATTTATTAGATCTTCTGGTGCACTGTTTATGCATTGAACTTGTGAGATGGAACACTGATTCCTTTTTTTGGTTTCTTTGGGTGACTTTTTTGGGGTTTTTTTTTTTTTTTGGGAATTTGGGTTGTTTTCTACAAAATCAGAATTTTTTTTAGCGAACACTATAACTTTTTTTCCTTTCACAAGACTACGCTGTATAATTGCAGTTTGAGGTAACGTCAGAAGTGTCTTGAACAATTCTTGCCCTGTACTTTACGTCTTCTGTATTACCTTTATCAACTTTGTGGGCTGATGGATAAAAAGAAATTATTTTATCCATGACGTTATGCTCTTAGCCCCAGTTTTTCCAACACTTCATGTTTTTTCTTTTTAAGTTTTGAAAATTCGTGGTAATTTCCTCTTAGAAAAAAAACTTTATGGCAGTTTTGTGCGGAAACCCTGAAGGTTCATGATTTTTTTGGGGGGATATTTTCCCATTTTGTTCATTTGATGTTTGTTATGGACACTTCTTTATGATTTTTTCTCCCTTGCAGTTCGTGGTCGTGGTAGGGGGCAGAACCGAGGGTGGGGTCCTAGGCCAAATGGACCGATCCAACCAGGTAATGGTGGAGCATGACCTGGAACAAATTATGCAGAATTTCATGTTTCTTAAGCATCGAATGGCTGCTCCTTTATGGCTTCATTGTCGAGTTCAGAGGTTAACCTTAGTTTGTTTTATAAGCTGTTCAGATATTTACTTGACGGCCAATTTTATCCCTTTGTAGAATTCAGTTAGCTGTGGGTCATATTTTCTTTTTCCATAAGGTGAAAACTAATTGTAGCATTTGACAAATAGAGCAGTACATTCTTTTATTTTTTTTTTCCCCTTGAAGCTTGTCCGACTGATTATATACCTGTATTTCTATCTTTTACTAATGAGTTTTCATTATTTCCTTGAAGTGATTTGATGTAATATGGGTGATTAATCATTTTTTTTCCCTTCCTTTGGAAACAAAGATCCTAATGTCAACTTAGGCAGGGTCCGTTGTGTTTTTAGCTATTCAAGGGAATTCTATCGTATCAAATTCTATTGTATCGGGTGTTGCTTTGTGGTGTAGATCGTTTTCTTTATTCTCTAATTGGGATATATCCTAAACTTTTATCTCAATTCATTGACCGCTAAAAGCCTCCCTTTGTAGAAACGCAGATAAGTTGATGTGAGATTTCGCAATTTCATGTGAAATTGATGGCAATCCAAAATCTGTTTAATTCATGCATGAATGGGCCAAAGCTTAAAAAGTTAAAAAGAGAAGAAAAGCGAGCACAATTTTCTTTTTCCTTGTTGTATTGGTGTATTATGTTGCGTTCACATGAATGTTATTGTGTTGTAATGTATTTTCTTGAAACATACGGGTGTTAAATTTTTATTTTTTTAGGCTATTGCTCTTGCTGTCAACATGGGCGGATGCTTCCAATTAATTAAGGGTAAGGTCACTCAAACCAGGCTGGTGGTTTTTGTCTTGATGTTTGCATCACGTTGGGCTGTTGATACCCCCCAAATTATCAAAGATTGGATCACCGAGTACGTACGCAAACGCATCTTTCCTACTACTTTCTGGGTATCGGAGTAAGGTTTACCCCTCATCACTACCGTACCGCAAAAGTACTTGTTCCCACGTGAGTAGAGCCTTCAGGATCCACAAATTGCCTGCTCAAAGTATAGCAAAGCTTTTATGGTTTCTTTTCTTCTTCATCTACAACTTAATTATTACTGATCAGGGTTGACTTAGATGCATGGGCCGGAGATCATGATTAAACATATTTGATGACCTATACTTCTCAAGTATCTGTTTTAATTCTTCCCTTCTTTTTTTAAATATTTTTTTTTATCATGACTAGTTTTTGATTTCCTTCCACTTAATTGCAGCCCTAAGAGATATTCCAGTTCTCTCTCCGTGAGATTCGCTCAAATCAAAAGAGATGGTTTCGGTTGTTAGTTTGAATGCAGCAAACTCAGAGAAACTAAAGAGTCAAGCCTATATAATAGTAACCAGATAGATAAATACAAAAGAACTCTAAGCGTCCTTTAATTTTATCTTTCTAAGCAACATACATAACAGCATATATATTATGCAATATAATTAGAAAACTATACGTACGTAGTTTTTATACAATAAATTAAGCGCATGGCAGAATCTAAATTAATAGTGAATAATCACGTTTGCTCACACTTTTTAAGCAAGTTTTGGGAGATTACGTGCAGCTAAAGTTTTAGGCTCCACCAAGCCAATTGGCAGTCTCCTGGTTTAGTTTTCAATTTTCATAGCAACATATATATATATCTCTATCTAGCCACAAAATACACTCAATTCCAGGACCTTTCAAAGCATAAATAGGAAGTCTCAAAGATAATTTATCCAAGGGAAAATTTGTAAAATAGACCGTTTTTGCTAATTATTTAGCAAAATAGACCGTTTTGCTAAATAATTAGCAAAATAGTTGCTAATTATTTAGCAAAATAGACCGTTTTGCTAAATAATTAGCAAAATAGATCTCTTTTGAAAAAAAAAGGTCGATTTATTAGCAAAATAGACCGTTTTGCTAAATAATTAGCAAAATAGATCTCTTTTGAAAAAAAAAGGTCGATTTAAAAAAAAACAAGACTCAGAAAGCATACCAGACTACTAGTCCCGTATGTTTAGAGCCAACTTAATCACGGATTAGTGACCCAGAAAATATACGGGACTAGTAGTCTCGTATGTTTTCTGAGTTCATCTCAATGTTTTGTGAAATTTTCTGAGTTCACTAATCCGTGATTAAAACATACGGGACTACTACTCCCGTATGTTTTCTAAGCTGTTTTGCAAAATAGACATTTTTTTTGGCCTGTTGGCCAAGAAGAGATCTATTTTGCTAATTATTTAGCAAAACGGTCTATTTTGCTAAATAATTAGCACAAACAGACTATTTTGCAAAATTTCCCTTTATCCAATTGAAAGTCTTACAACCGTACGTTTTTTAGAAATCAAATTCAGGATGTCAATATATCGTACAAATTCAGTTATGAGTACGTACGTAATACTGGCGCAAGAGAATTTCTACTTGACGAGGAGGAAAATATTATGGCTTATAATTTTTTATATTTTCTTTTCTTTTGGCCCATGTGCTTGAACGTGACACAATACCTGGCTTTTGATCTAAAGATCACTATATGATCATGACGGTGGACTTATAAGCTAGTTTATATCATCATTACTTCAGAGAAATGCATGTGACCATGCTATTATTGGTCTAAAAGTTAACGAGGCATTTGAATTGCCACAGAATTTTAATCTTGCTCCAACTACGTCCGCCCTTTCCTTGACTGTGTCAATATTAATTCGTGATTTCCCATCATATGATATATACCAAATCATTCTATCCCTTGGAGTTGCATTTTGCTCCTTCGCTTCCACTGCTATGACTGCGTTCAGTTCTCAAAAAGTACTCGAGGATACAATAGATAAAGCACTGTTTATTGACCAGTTGTAAATACAAGTCATATACAGTTTAGGGTTAATTGCAAATAGGCCCCTTGGTATCGCCCAATTGTGAATAGACATCCTGTAGTTATAGTTCTGAAAATAGGCCCTCGAGTAATTTTTTATTTTGAATTCTGAAATCAACAAAAATGTTTGAGTAATGTTAGTGTGGATGGACCCTTGATTGCTGTTTATTTTTTTTAATTTAAAAGAGTCCAAATAGTTCATTGAGGGGTGTACTTGCACCTTGGCCAATACTACAGTGGTCCATTCACAATTGGGTGATATCTATTGACAATTAACCCTAAAGTTTATGAGTAAAGAATGATGCATACATTCTCTAATCTTCCATGCTTTTCTTACTAATTAACCAAAGAGGCAAGTTGATGCTAAGATATTCCTCTTATTTAAGGAACTCGTGAATCATGACCATAACCAGAGAGATGTCACATTGTAGGCGTTTAAAAATGCCTATAGGTTCTCGCACGCAGCTCGAGATAGAGAGAAGACGATTAACATCATTATTCGGGTCAAGAAGGATGACCCGAGTGACCCACATGCTTGTCGGAGCTGGTGGCTTGCACGCTTGTCGGTCAGCTCCAAGTACCCACCGCGCTTGTCTGTCAGCTCCAAGTGCCCGCCGCGCTTGTCGGTCAGCTCCAAGTACCCGCCGTGCCGCGCTTGTCGGTCAGCTCCAAGTGCCCGCCACGCTTGTTGGTCAGCTCCAAGTGTCCGCCACGCTTGTCGATCAGCTCCAAGTGTCCGCCACGCTTGTCAGTCATCTCCAAGTGTCGTAAAGAAGCTAACGAGCATATGGAGAAAGTTAACGAAGGTTACAAGTCAACAAGACGATCAAATACGCAAAACGACAGAAAATACAAAGTTCGGAAAAGCCAAAAATGGCTAAGTCTCGAGGCGACCCGCGTGATGTGCGGGTCACCAAGAGGTGACCCGCGATGGCGCGGGTCACCACTTGGTGATCCGCGGTCGCGCGGGTCACCACTTGGTGATCCGCGGTCGCGCGGGTCACCGTGACCTGTCGTGCGCCAGAAACCCCCCAGGACGTGTTTTTGACGGTTTTTTACTGTTTTCTCGGGATTTTTTCATTCCAGAGTGTTTCAACTGCTTGGATATCATCCATAAACGTGGTTAGATCGTTATTGACTGAGGATATGGTCAAATCTCTCATTCTTATCCAAATACTGCATCTGAGGCCCTATAAATACAAGACTAGGGCCCCCATTCTCAGGGGGCGAATTATTATCAAGACGAGGAGGTGCTGTCGAACTTCAGAGTCAAGAGCCACAAATTTTAGCAAGGGCTAGCGAGATCTAGGCGAACTTCGACATAAAGAAGGTGTCTTTCGAAGGATTTGAAGCCCGTTTCCACCTTTTCTTGAGATTAGGATTGGTCTTAATCTCGAGAAGAGTACTGATATCGCTTGGTCGATATCAATACTTCAGTGAATATTTCCTTTGTGAAGTAGGAGCTCTGATTAATCATTCTGTCAACTGGATCCGATCCGTAGGCGGTCCACAGATATCAACGTCCCCGGCACAGGCAAAGATCCTACGCAAACAGAGACTAATAAATAGGATTTGTGTGTTGTTTGAAAGAGATTGTAATTAGTTATTCCCATTGTGTAAAAGTCTTATAAAAGACTAACTTTTTGTTGAGTTTATTGAAACGTCTGAAGTTGTAATTGATTCAATCATAATGAATAAAATAATTTCTAAACCAAATACGCTGACGATCATAGTGGGAGCCAACAGCCTTTCTATGAAGGCTAATGTGTCGCAACCTCAGATCTGCATCCCGGTTGAAGAAGTGGTTGAATACGAGTTTGACCAACAGAAGTTAGAGGAGTATCTGTCGTCCTCCTCCTCTACTCGCAAGCGCAGGAAGATCAACGCCCCCGTTGCTGTGGTAGCTGCACCTTACAATGCCCCTCTGACCTCCAACGAGGTCTGATCTACAGATCTGGACTTCTCCTCAATCAAGGAGTTGAGTACTGAAGGCACGCCAATCCCATCGAAGAGGGCACGTCAAAGGCAACGTTAACGCCTCACGCGCCAATTCGCCAAGGCTTTGGAACCTTTTGATAGGATCTGCTACGATGCAAATCTGAAAATCAGAACGCACCAAGTGTTCCAACAGCAAGCAAACGTCCCCTCCTCCAAATTATCAAAAAGTGAATGGATCCAAGTCAAAAGGACCCGTTCAACTCTTGAGGAGCGAATCCAGAAACGTCACACACTACTTGCACACGCACGAAACCTTGTGCGGGAAGCGCGTAAGTTGTAGAAGGAGAACATGGTCAAGGAACAAGCAAAACCACGCCAAGTCTGGAAGCCGAAGCTCAAAACAGAAGCCAAAATGTTAAAAAAAATGCGAGTCACACACAGGTGACTCGGCTAGCCACGGGTCACCACCAAAATA